CTCGGCGTGCACGCGCAGAGACACGGACACGGACACGGGACACATACGAGTCCGGCGATCGGGCATCGACCGTGGAAACAGCTAAACGCGAAGTGCTAGGGGTAGTAGCCCTCGCGCGAGCCTGTCGCGCTTCACCGGGCGAGCCTGTGTCTCGCCGGAGAGAGATTCGTACGAGAAACAAACGATAGCCGGTCACAAAGGAAGTAAAATAACGGGCGAAAGAAAAGACGGCTAGATGAGGGAGAAGGGGTTGAACGAGAAACTAGGGAAAAAAGAGTGTGAAATAGAGAGAGAGAGCGGGAGAGAGGGAGTGAAAGAGGGAGAGACGTAGAAAGGGGCGCCATTTAACGCTTCAGGCGGTACGTACACGCTCTCTCGTCGACCTTTCACCCCCCGCCGGTTCTTTCAGTCTCACACTTTTTGATAATGCTGCGTCCGGAGGCGGCGTGCGATGGCGCGGGAATTCGCGCGGAAACAGCAAAGTCGCTGATTTCCGTTCTCCAGACCGAACGACGGGCAGAACGGATAGAGGGGCGGCGCGGCGGCGGCGGCGGCAGCGGCGGAGGAGCAAGAAAGAAGAAAGGAGCCGAGCTTTTTTCTCGCGACGATGCCTACCATGACGAGGCTCGCGACCCGAAACGCGTGAACCTCCGAACGACGAATTAATCCAGCTAAAAGCTCTCCTCGCCTCGTCTCGGACGCGCGCGAGCTCGCGTCCGCTGGCTCCTTCCGCCGCCCTGTCCCTCACCAGCCTTTTGTCGTCGGCGTTTCTCCGTTCGTTTATCCGACAGCGAGACGCTGCATCATCCTCGCTATCGTCCCTCCCCCTCGCAGCTGCTCGAAATAATGTGACAACCGTACGCGACGGGGGGAACGGGACGCGGTATCCGATATTAAAACGACCGACGACGCGGAGCTCCGCCAGCCGCGGGGAACCCCGCGTCGGGAACTTAATGCGCCGTGTACTCGGGGCTAATTCGAGCGAAAACCTCGTTAATGTCCTACCCCGATCGTCTTCGTCTTGCGCTCGGAGAGGTAACCAGCTCGCGAGGACGTCGACTACGTCAGCGACGAAACGCTCTCTCGGTTAACGCGCGGCCGACTAGAATCTGCGACGCGCGAGCCTGGAATCGGCAGGAGTTGGACCGTTCGCGACCCAATTCCGAACGGTTCGGGAGCTCGTTAATTGCACGCGACGTCGTAGCTCAAAGAGCAGCCCGGTACAATCGTCGGTTCACGCTTTGAGGGTCGCGTACGCTGCTGGGGTCAAGGGAGAATTCCGATCGGGAAACGCGGGCGGAGAAGAAATAGCTGTGGGGCCTGAGTGTAATGGAATGAGGATATTTCGAAGAGGTTTCGAGTGTTTCGGAAATTAAATGAACGCGCGTACAGCTAGATTGTAATGCACTGCGAACGAGAAATCAGTGAATTGTATCGCTCGCAGGGAGCAGTGCTTTGCATGCGAACTGGGTCTCCGGTCGAATAACTCGAACTATAGGCGAGCGCTGGTCGAGGCCTCGCTTTAAACGGTTTCAACTCTTTGAGTTCGATGGGTAACTGTTCCACCTTTCATTTAGCTCTTTATGCATTCCGGGATATATTCGAGCCCACCTAGAAAAGCTGAAGTTACCGATCGTCGTACAGTTTAATATTTGATTCCAAGTTTCCCATCCAGCTGGCAACGCTACACGCTAACGGCGAACGCGTGAATAAGTAAAGACGAAAATGTATGCAAGTCGAAACGCACCAGTGAATTATTACCGTTGCGATTAAGGTTAACGAATTCGGTGCAACTCGCTCCCTTAAAATCGTGCGCCGCGAACGGTTAACCTAGTATCGATCTACTCGCTCCGGAGATCAATGACATCTCAAAGCTGAGAAGTTGCCCGATCGCGCGCACGATAGAAGCGCGTGATTAAGAGTAATTGTTAAACCACTCACCTTCCAGCTCGACGACTTTGCCAGCCCTCTTCAGAGCCTTGACCGCCTCGTCGTGAGTCGCTTCACGCAGATCTTCCCCGTTCACTGCCAAGATCGCGTCGCCGACGTACAGTTGCTCGGTGGCGTCCGCCGCCATTCCTTTAAAGATCTTCGAGATCAGGATCGGCATTTTGTTCTCCTTGCCGCCCTTGATCGAGATACCGAGGCCGTTGTTGTCGCTCTTCACCACGCGCACGATACGCTTCTGATTGGCGACCGAGTCCGGCACGTCCGGGTCGTTCAGGCTGTCCACGTTGTTGTTGTTGATGTTGCCGTTGTTCAGCGCGTTGTTGCCGGTCTCGCAGCTCTCGTCCAACGAGATGCTCAGGTAGTCCTCCTCGAGGGAGACGAACACGCGGTACCATTGACCGCGGACCTGCGTCTCCAAGACACCGGCGCGGCCCGTCGCCGACGAGGCGGCGGTGGTCGTCGTCGACGAGGACGAGGACGACGTCGCCGCGGACACCACCGAGCCGAGGCCCATCACTCCCATCGCGGAAGTCGGTTGACCGCTGCCGCACAGCTCGACCATTTCGATTTCCTCGCAAGCTGCACGCTGTGGAGCATAATCAGAAGCGCAATTAACACACGCCTTCGCGTTCCGTTTGTCTTAAACATGAATTCAACCCTTCGCGAATGAAGGTTGAATGTCTGAAAACTGTTTCCGAAAAACTGAATTGTAAAGTCTCGAATACACTGGGAGAGAACGCTTATGAATCTCTCGTTAGTGGAATAATTAAGTTACTCGTCAGCAGTCGCCGATTTCGGGTGTCAAAGTTGGCGTTACAGCGACGTTGGTAAAAAGTTAACTCGGTCCTGACGT